ACAAGCTGGTATGTGATCAATTACGTACTTTATTAAACATTTCTATATATAATGTTCCAGTGAAGTAATGTTCTCCAGCCCTTCTAGAACAATGTACAAGAATACAACACTGTTCAAAGGGCACCAGAAAACTTCAGTCGGTATCTTACGTTATTACCACTGCAGAGGAGGAAAAATCCCATTTATGCCTCAAGTTCTTCATGACTTCAGTGCTCCCCACTTCCCAGTGGTATTCCTGTTTCTTTTCCTCATCCTGTCTCAGTCTTGCTCAAAACCTTGTGATGAGTTTCCCTTCTCTCTTCTTCAACTATCTATTAATTTCTTCATTTCTAATCCTTTCCTCTAATGCACAAAGTTTAAATTTAGAATTTATCTCTCCTTTCTTAGTGAAACCATTGCTGTTTCTGTGTAATAGCAGTTAAAGCTACAATAGTCAATTCCCCACGTTGGTGTTTTCCCTATTTTCTAACAACTGGTCAAGAATATCTTTTTGTCTTAGTTCCACCTTAGCCTAATCTTTTTATAACACCAAATAACATAAGCCTCTGAGAAGTGTCCATGGCTAATTCCAAGGATGTGCTCAATACTTCAGCATATTAAAAAGTAATACTAATGAAATAACATTTCAAACATTTCACTGTCCCATATGTCTAACAACTTCTAAACTAAGTAGAAACTGTCATGTCTGGAACAAAAGACAAGTATGAGTGCAAACTTCTAATAAGCCGCATCCAAACTAATTCAGAATACTAAGAAGGACAAAGAAATCTGATTTCAAACAATGTGTGAAATTAGAAGCAATACATGTTAAAAAAAGCATCTTAAGTTTTAAATATTTCAATATGAATTTTGACATTATTACATGAAAGCTTAAAACTAACAAGCTTTTAAAGTATGTAATAGCCAGGAGTTTTACATTAAGCAAATTATGTTTTGCATTATGCAAATGCTACATACTATTTGACCCTCAAAATCAAAACAGATTTTGTAAATTTACCTGTGCTCTTCATGCTAACGGAAATATCTCCTTTTTCCTTAACACCTTCTGTTTGTTTCCAATAGCCATTATTAATTGGTTCCAGAGTTAGTATACAGTTTGTAAATTATAATTTAAATAACAATAATGGACTTACCCTTAAAGACTCCTGGAATGAGGAGGCCTGGTACTGTGCATATTTAGCAATTGTTGTATGAGATCTACTGCTTTCACAACGCCAGATTTTCTTTGTTCCAGTTGGGTCCCAGTTTTCATCTGCTGGCTGGAGTAGTTGTGTCCTCACTTCTACTATGTGTTCATTATTTGCTTCTACCAATGTCTTAGTAGAGAAAAGTCCTAGATCTAATAAATAGGAACAAAAAAAAAAAAAAGACAGTTATAATAACAAGTTTCAAGAAATTGAATACTTCTGAAGTTATCTAAATGTTTAAACAAAAGCATTTCTTTTCCCCCTCAGCCTTCATAACACATAGCCTACATAACCTGTAGGTTAATCATTAACACTCATAAAGCTTTTCTGCACACAACAGTAGAAGCTTAGAAAAAACTTGGCAGCTACTGTATGGACTATATTCCAAGAAACATTTTACATGCCTTGTGTAAACAAATCTGCAAACAATGTTTAAATTTACTACCAATAAAGTTATTTTTCAGACTAGAGTTTTCAGAATGCACTTCCATCATATAACACATTTCTTAGCAGCGGTGATAGTTTTTCTGTCTCCAGAGTTCGAAACATTGCACACAGTCAGATTACAGATCATTAAATCTAAGAGCAAAGACCTGTAGCCATAGTATTCACAGGGAAAAAAGTCTATCTGTAAGCTTCCATATCCACAGCTCAACTCCTCTCTGTGCTCAACAAAATCTGCTGGATTTTGTGGGTTGTTGTTTTTTTTTTTTTTTTTTTTTTTTTTTTGAGATGATCAAGATTAGAAACAGTATCAAACTTATTTTTGAAAAATACATCTTTTTTTCCAAGGTAAACAAAAAAAAGTAAAGTAAACTTACCTAATTTAAGCGCTCCAGCAAGGCCACGTATTACAGTAACAGGGTTGTTTGGATTTGTACAAAATTGATGTAAAGGTGGAAAGAAAGCATCTCGTTTATTTTCCAGCTGTAAAATTATAATGGAGTATTAGATGTCAGTATTAGATGTCAGACAAATTTAGATTCCCTTTTTGTAAAATAAGAAATAATAATAAAAAGAAAAAAAAAGAGAAACAACAGAAAGAAGACAGGAATTTTCTCCATTTCCTTGCACTGTGGGGACTGAACAGCTACATCATATAATCTTTTCCACCTTAAAAGCTAGGTTAACTCCTGAAATTAATTTGTTACTGCAATTTATTTCTTGGCATGAATTATTCCCAGGTTGTTTCGGCTTTTGCAACTCAGGTTTCCTGCAGTTTATTTCTTCTGACAGTAGCCTTGTACATTCCCTGAATCTACAGAATTCTCTGAAGAGCAAGATAATATACTAACTTTCTTCTCAGAAGTTAAAAAAAAGCTAACTCTACTGATAATGTACACAAGAAACTATAATTAAAAAGATGACTCTCACAGTATTATATTAACCAGAAAGGCTGATTTGATTTTGTGCTTTTGTGCACCTGTGCCCTCAATTTTATGCTAGTCTCCCCCATCTTTTTTTTTTTCTTTTTAAAATTTTTTTTAAAATGGTTGTGAATCTTCTAAAATGCTTAAAATATCCCTTTCAATAAATAAAACGCAACACAGAGTTCCCAAATACTGGGATCCTCGCTAGCACATCTGCACGCTATGTTGCAGCACACTGACTTACCAGCTTTGTACAGAGTCAACAAAGCTGTGACAGACTTTTAATAAGGTAGATTAATTCAAATGCAACACTAGGAGAACAGCTGGAAGCACTGCTGCTTCCAACTTAATCTAGCTCTTACATAGACTGCTTGTGTAGTATCAGACAAAAGTGCTGACCGCTTCTGCTCCCCACGTTGAGCTGACCAAAGTTAACTTGAGGTTTCCACACTGGCTGGATGGACATACTAAAATTTATTATTCTGTTATCAAGGAAGGGAAATCTTTTACTAAGGCAGTTAGTTCAAACTCTTCGTAAAGCTATTATGAAACTTTATTTTCAGAACAAACATTTTAATGCTTACATTAAGAAAATACTATGCAACTAAAACCTATCTTTTCCTAATGACATTTTGTTCTTAACATCACCTCAACTTTATTAATTTTTTCTTTACTATATTTTGAAGCAGATTGTTAGGAGAGTGTAGTTTAATTACTTGCTCATTTATACCTAAACTGACACTTTTTAAAAATGTACATACATATTTGAATATTGTGCATTGTATCTAATGCACTGTTTTGCTTATTCTGCCAATATTTTGAGTATTAAACAAAAAATTCTGAAGCTGTTTTTTCTCATTTACTGAAACTCTTAATTTACAAGTATTTTAAGAGTCAAACTATGTCTCAGAATTTTCTTTAAGGTTAAGCATTTTTCCCACTTATACACCAGCTGGGAGAGCACTGTAACTGGAATTCAGCTATGAATAGTGCATCTTTAAAATGATTACATTATGAAATTCAGATATCCAAACAATTACAACAGACAGTCAGCAATGTACTTCTACCATTAGATTTACTTACATAAATGCTAGGTGTAGGTGGATTCAGCTTGTCCTTTGGCAAGGGAGGGTACGGTGGAGGCGGTGGTCGTGGAGGTGGGCATTTATCCAATAGAATACTACTGTTAGATAAGCCATTTTTACCCAGATTCCTACAAGGAAAGAAGAGCTGCCTCTGTCAATACTTGACAAATAAAATAAACACATATTAGTGTCATCTCTTCTGCAAAATAATGATATATAAGGAGAAACTGTAATTCAAGATGCAAATAAAGCTCATATATTTTAATCAAGAATTCTCAGTGCGTAAATTGATATTATTCAAAATAATACCCACTTTGCCTGCCAAATCTGCAACATCACCACTATTAGTTAAAAATATAGTCATTTTAAATAAAAGCAAGCATGACTCATTTCACAAAAATTAACAGAGAAAGCAGGGTTCAACTAGAAATAGAGAAGAAACCTTATTAGGCTGGCACTGGCTAGTGGATAATCAGTTCACAGCAGCTGAGATAACGCAGTCCAGTAATGCTGTGCAGAGCTGTGGCAGAACACAAACTCAGAAAACGACACAGCCTCAGCCACAAAACTGCTGAGTCACAAAAAACAACTAAAACTACACTAACAACACCAACTTGAACAGCCACCTACCCCTCTGATTTCCACACTTCGAAGCCAGAAGGAGCCACTGCTGCATAATCCACTTGTTTGAGAAACAGAGCAAAAGACCTACCCCAAGTGAGCTGCTGTGTCAACACCTGTACACATACTTGAGTGAGAACCTCGCTTGCTATATTTGAAGCCTTTCTCCAGAAAGATGTCAGCAAGACATGGATAACCCACCATATGTGTGTTAACTTTTTCTATAATGAATGACCTGAAAAATCTGCATTCTGAGCTTAAGTCTATATTCAATTTCCAGTAACTATCACCAGGAAACATTTTTTAACAAAACCACCCCTTAAATTTTTGCTCATTAAAAATGACTCAGCTACTTCAAAATTCTTCCAACTAAACACCACTCAAATCCCTCTTCCAGCCTCACTTGATTCACTAGCTGTTGTTACCATCTCTCAACACCCCACAAAACTGGATGTTTCTAATGCATAATTTAGTCATATATCTTCATAAAACACACCAATTACAAAAAAGTTCATCTGGTAACAACAGTCTTCAGCAGAAAACATAGCTGACTTATATCAGCTGTAACTCCCAGCAATAGAGCTTGTCTCTAAAACACAGACACTGTTATACTGGCACTGAAAAACATCGCAGAGCTGGATGCTGGTATGTGAGAGCACTACTTCAAATGAAGCTACCACAAACCACGAGTAAAATGGACTTGGGGCTTGAGATCAGATCAGACTGACTGTTATGACAAACACTTTAAAGAAAATGAGCAAACACCTCACCTACCCCAGGCTGCAGCAAAGACGAGGATCCTGAGAAACTGGTGCTGATTACTACAAACAAGTCAGTCATTCAGTTCAGAGCTTATGCAAGCTTTCTAACTCAGACATTGCTCTCCTCTGACAGAAGATCAGAGCAATACAGACAGGGACATATTTAACAACTGCCTCCAAAGCATGCTTGTCAAAATACCAAACATGGCTTATTCCTTGTACTAGGTGAGTCCAACACCAGGATGGGTTGCAACTTCAGAGAAACTGAAAGAGCAATGCAGAAGCTTTGATCAGGTATCATCCAACTTGGCAAAAAACTCACCCACCAATGCTTAATGTCTGATGTAGGTCTTGCAAAGACCCTATTGCGCCCCCCCAAGCCAACATAGCAATGTAAAATCACCACCACCCAAAGAAATTTATCGACCATGTCTGCATGAATCTGAGATTCAGACCATCTATACAAAGTGAAACTATAATCTGACTAGCAGGTATTAGAAACAACTATAATCTTTGCATTGCCAAACTGAAAAATAAAACCAAGAAAAGCAAATACATAATAACAAAAATCAAAGAGAACTATGACAAAATTGTTTGAATTGCTAAAAAGTTCGTAGGCAATTTCTGAGGCAAGAAAGATGAGAAAGACTGAACCTGAAGAAAAAGGAATATTGCTCATAACTATCGTGACTTAAGCTACTGTACTCACAACAAAATAATCACTGCAGTTAAATCTTAGTAAAGCCAGGGTACATGGGGTCTTCACAAAAGTGGGACAACATAGAAAGTAGAAACTCCTGTACGCTTAGAGAAACTACAGGTCTGAAAAGGCAAAGGAGATACAGAAGAAAGCAGACAGTACAGAAGAAAAGATTAGATGAACAGAGATATCTCAAACACAGCACTTGAAGCTGATACTACCAAATGTACGCCACTGTTTCCTATTAAGTTACTAAAACCTTGTGTGGAAATGTCAAGAGATGAAAGGGGCCAAAGAAAAGCAAAGCTAAGATACGAAAATGCTCGTAATTCAAGTGGTCCAGTAAACAGATGGGCAGAATATTTGAAGTTGTCCTTAACAGACCAGTTTCACTCTATCATCTTTTTTTTCCTACTATGAATCAGAATAACTTGTTATTAATAACAATGCAAGACAGCTATTAAAGAATAACGCTGTAATGGGTCGTGTGCAAAACAGAGCAACAGAAATTACAAGAAACACTACAGAAGTACTAGAAAGATTTGTTACCAGCACCTGAAATGAAGTGGTGTGAGTATCCACAGCTGGCCTCTCCACCTCTGGAAATACAGAACTATGGCCAGTGCAAGGAAAGTGAAAGGCCCTTTTTGACCACAGCAACTGTGAGGAAAATCTCACAGATGTGTTTCAAAAGTGTACTTTTTGTGAGAGGATTTCATACTGGCCAAAAGAGGCAACAGACGTAATGCTCAAGAAAAAACAAGTCTGATTTAGGCCCCAAAAAGAAATTGGGTGCCCAAAGCCACCTACAATGTCGTGACAGAGAAACGAAGAGAAGGACAGGCTTCATTCACTTAAATTGACTTTCCAGACAGAATTGGCTTTGAAGAGACTGCTCAGGCAGAAGAACACCCTTCACTCCTGCAGAGTGGGAAGAGAAGGCAGGAGCAGCTGGCAGCCTCAGAAAGGCAAGGACAGGCGCACACTGATGTGCACCACTGTCCTGAGCCAAAGCTGCAGCTCTCAGTCCACTGCAATTTGCTCAATGCAACTGCTTTACCCTGAGGACCAACTCGAACTGCTATTCTTATGACCAACAGCCACCACTACAGATGAAATAGGTGCCTCGATTTCATGCAATTATGGAATGTCTTGAATAATAAATCACCAGATTCATTAAAACACCCTTTTTTCCCCCCATTCTGCTCCTTTCTAGGGTACACTCCCACACCTTCTAAAAACAGTTTACAGCCTTCAGTCTTAGAGAACAACCTCCCCTCTGGCTGTACCAAAACACAGTTAACCAGAAGCAGACGTGCAACCCAGTTTGCTTCCCAACAGTCACTCTCCTCTTCATTATACAGCACTCATGCCCCAGTCTGTGCTTTTAGCAAATATTAACACAAACAATTTCATGTTATCTAGGGATTTCTTGACAAATGGAGACTGATGGCTTAGCCTGAAATTATGCCTTCATCCATCTACCACACTTCTTCTCTCAAGTTTACTATTTTCACTGCACAGACAACTCAGTGGCTTGTTATGCAGCTGGGACATCGCTGCTTCATGGGAAGACGGACTCCACAGGAGTCTCTAAGGCTAGAGCACCTGTCTGAGCCCTGTGTCACTATCAAAAACTAAATAAAACAAAGACCAAAACCCAAGCCCAAGGCAACATCACCGAAATATTTACAATTACACAAAACTTATCAGGTAGTTGCTGTACACTTCATAGGTACTGTATTGACTTTGCATCATCTTAGTTGACTAAAAAGAGACATCATGCAAGTTTAAAGCCAACTGTGTAACACAGCTGTATTCATTTCAACTCTATTTAATTATAAAAACTCAAGAACATTGAAGCTAACATGATAGAACTTACTTTCCAAGAACCAGGACTCATTAATTACTATCCTTCACATTTATTAACCACCTCAATAATTTTACTGTTTCGCTCAAGCCTAATGTCAGTCTGAGAGGATTATATTTATTTCTCAGAAGGGAGTTCATAGTGCTTTTCAGGTCCTTTGGAACTTTTTCTGTTTTCCAAGAACATGAAGAAATAAATCTGTATGATCGATAAACAATTCTCTGGCCTGCTCTTACAGAGCTCCTGGATGCCAGGTCTCTGACTTAAAAATGCCAAATTTAACTACTGTTTAACCTTCTCCTTTATTACTGAAAAAACAGAGTGTGTTATTGTACATCCTATGATGTGAACATTGTATCTGCCTTTTTCCCAAGCACAGAACAAAAATATTTACTGAAATCTCTTGCCTCTATTGACTATTCTAGTATTTCTGTGCAGTCACTAAGCATCAGTGTTTTTTGTGTTTCTTCTTTTTCATTCTTGGTTATGATTTTCCTCTTCAGAACTTTTGTTTCGGAGTTTTCTAAAACTCCTAGCTTCAGTACTTTTAAAAATATTTGCCATTTCTGGTTTTAATTGGGAAACTGTGACTTTTTGAGGATAATTAAAAGTTCCTGAACAATTTCCAGTTATCCATATATTTGGATTTTTGGTACGCTTTACAGGCCAAAACAGAATAAGCTACAATCATTTGCACTTACGCAGTTAGTTTTGTTGTGAAGTCATTCTGTTTAAGTGAATTATTACTTGAGGTTTAGCTGCATGAGAATTAACAAGGTTTTAATGCTCAAGAGATTTTAGTTATTCTGAAGAACAAAATTAATACCCTCACTTCCCCAAACAAAAATCACATTTAATGTGAATATAAAGAACTGCGGATTTATATGATACTCAAATCTATCTGAATTAATTAATCTACAAAGACTTACAAACAAACCACTTTAAAAGTGTGCCTGCAGAAGGAATCAGTTGAAGCACTGGGATGCACAGCACTTACTTGACCCAGCCCTGATTCAAAACAGAAATACCCAGCCTTTCTTAATGATCAGTGGATACAATTAATTGCTTTCATACTGCAAGCTGTTACAAAAACACAGAAAAATGTCTGTCAACACCGTGGGAAGGAGGCAGTTACTCACAACGCCTAACTTGGGCTCTCTGAGGCTCACCTCCCCA